AATTTAATAAAACTTGATGGACTACATATCGTGCCAGAAGATGGAAGCCGAACGTTTCGGCTTGCAGCAATTGCTAGCGAAAGCAGGGTCGGACAAAAGCGTGGTGAAATAGAAGCACGTAAGTAATATTTCTCAAAAAATTCTATAGAAAAGACAAAAAAAATTTGTTTCATTACTTCGATCATGAAACAGCAGGGAGATAAAAGGTTTCCTCAGTTCTGTGACGTTACAGATTCATGGAACAAATAGGAAGTACCCGTTTCCATTATTACATAAATGGAGTTTATACAAAATTTCAACTTGTTGGCTGTCATAGGCACAGTCAAGGGCACTAACATGTATATAATCTACCAACTTACCTAACCTTGCTCAAAAATGTTTATACACATATGTTATTAATTATAAGGTATATGAAAAATGCATCTGAGCGGTTGGTAGAATGTATACATGTTATTCACATAAATACATGCAACAGGTTATTGTACTGTTTCTAATAAGTATTCTTTATTTTTTAGACATGGCGTGACAGAGTTTGCTTATCACTAAATATTTATCGTCAGACATAGCAGAAAAAAATGAGATTGAGGTACAGTTTGGAAGCCAAGTGGACTCTGAGTCAGAAGATGATGGCCCTCGTGTATACCTGATCCTGAGATTTAAAAAAGATACTACTTGTATGATCATAACCATTTTTCATTTTTTCACTATGGATAATCAATCCTCTTTGCTTAGGTAATAACACTGATTACTTTAATTAGTGATTATTTATTTCAAAACCTTTAATTGTTAGTTACCTGTATAAAAATAAATTGATTTATCAAAGTTGTACTATTTTTAACCACTTGTAAAATTATATGTACGTATTTTCTATAAGAAATACTCATAAAGGCTGATACAAGTCATGGTATTATATTCTAACTATGTTCTATTTCCATTCTATTTTTTAAAAAAGTTATTTTTATAAAACACAATACAAATATTCTTTGTTGCACACAAGAACACAATACATTAAAAAAACCATAAGACGGGGAATAGCCTGCTTGATTTTAAGATTCTTCCAGGCAACTTCCGGGTTACAGGATAAACTTAAAGGTAATAATCAATTGAGGGCGCAAAAACTGCTATTGAATACAAATTTAATACAAATGTTATTCTTGCACTAATAAAAATATAATACTCAAATAAATAAAAAAAAACATACACATACATACATCTCATCACACTCATTTTCCATCGGGGTAGGCAGAGACTATGGATCTCCACCAGCTATGTTCCTGAAAAACCTACTTCACCTCATCCACTCCAAAATATATATACTTACAAAAATTATAATCACTGAAGAAAGAAAAGAGCGATAGGAGTAAAAAAATATAACAAAAATAATATAAAATCTAATAAATAAATATTAGTAAAACAATATTATAATGAGAGAACAGAAATAATTATAGTACATGTTAAGTAGAAATAATATTTTTTCTAGTATTACAATGATAAAAAAGCCCGAAGAGAAATATCTCGCACTTTGACGTTTAAATGCGAGAGAGTGTTGCACGCAACTATCAATCGACAGACGAATGTTGCAATGACAAGTAAATGCGACTCGACAAGCACCGTCGTGCTACCGGATCGCGACATACCAATATCTCGCGCTTCTATGTCGTTTCTCGCTTCAGTCGCGCCCTGTCGTGCTAGCTCCACTGAGTGAATGAATAGTCACAAAGCTGCCAATCATTATAGTTTTAACATTACAATAAGCTTACTTTAAGCGCGTTATGGTACGAAAAGTCAATGTAAGGTTAAAGTAATATTGTTTTAAGAGGATGTAGTAGGCCCCCTGAACTCCTTGAGCAAATAGGACTACGCACAGGCAAGGTTGCACTGAGAAATCCTATCACACTTTACGTTCCTAGGGTTAGGACAAATTATAAACAAAATGCACTTTTAAATAGAGCGTCTCGCTCATTTAACTCCTTGTTTAATAGATATGGTGAGGTGGACTTGTTCAAGATCGTTTACTCAGTGATATGTTTTTTCTTCAAATATGTAGATACTATAACTGTTTAACGTTTTTAATTTCGTTATTTTTATTTATTATGTTTTTTTTCTCTTTAAGTCGGCAACTTTCTTTGTAGTTTGTTTCTACCACTGTAAATAATTAATTATCTGTGGAAACTTTGAATTAGCTCTCAGCATACTTTATTATATTCTTGTTACATAGCTGTAAGTTTTCTAAAAATAATGAAAATAAAATAAAATAAAAATAAATAAATAATTAATATTACTATTATACAAGGCGTCCCAACGCTATGGGACTCGGAGGAAAGGTGTTTCATATTCTGCCCTCCCTATCACAACCATGAACCAATAATTTAGTACCTATTAGTACAACAGATGTTGCGATAAGTATCCGCTATTTTCGTAACCAATTTCTTTTAAATTGACAAGCTGCAGTTTACCAAAGATATATATATACCATAGTGGTAACAAACAAGTAAACTAGATGGCACTTATTACATAGGTTTTTATGGATAATGCCGACTATTCGTTTATTTAGTTTAGGATTAGCCGTCTACCCGTATTAACAAGAGTTCATTTATTAGTTTGTAATACATAATGACATCTATTGACACGCTTGATGTCAAAGTTAAAAAAATAATTTTAGTTCATATTTGAATAATATACTGTTTTTAACGCCCATACTGTCCCACTGCTCTTTTAGCCACTTTTGCTACACATGCGCCACTGAGGTCCAGTCTTTTAGGTGCGCGTCTAGCTCATCTCTCCATCGAAACTTTGACCTGCCGCATGGTCATTTCTATCTTTAGGGATCCATTCTGTGGTGGCTTTCGTCCACTGTAATATTATAAGGAAATAAACTGGCTACTTGTATTTCATATAATCTCAGTACAGAGTACTAAAAAAACCGACCTCAAAAGTACGTGGAATTACGTCTATTTGCTAAGTTTCATTGAAATATCCCCTAGTTCGCCACTATACAGGACTTGACACTGGAGATAATAAAAATAGGTTCTCACTACGACACTACTCAAAGTACATCGAGAGAAAAACGCCTTGAATTGGAGAAATAGCAAAATCAACTAAATAATTGCTAAAAGTAATTGCTCCTACATTAAAGTTAGGCGCTATTTATAAAAATGAATCTTCATGCGTGAACGGCCACCCTTTGAGGTGGATGATTTTCAATTCAAAAGGAATTGGGACCACTATGGAAGTACCCCCTTTCCAACAAAAAGAGAATCATGAAAATCGGTTCACAAATACCGGAGTTATCGCGTAACATACATACAAAAAAAAAAGAACAGTCGAATTGAGAACCTCCTCTTTTTTTGAAGTCGGTTAATTAAAGAGGAATCAATAGATATTCACGGCCATTTATATAATAGAAACGGTTACGTATCAGAAGTTCGAAATGACATTTACCAGAAAGAACGTTTGCTCGAATTTTCATAACCTCGAAAGTAATTTTGAGAGGAAAATGTTTTTTCTTTTAAACGCAAATTAATCTAACCTAACCGCACCTAATCGTGCCTTTGCGATAAACCTTCAACATATCCTGAAAGAACAACGGTTTCGTGATAATTCGTTATTCAAACCACACACTAAAATATTTATATAAAACCGGCCAGGGTGTTAATATATATTGATTTAAAACAGAAAGGTTCAACAACTACTAACGTTGTTATACTAGAATCGCTATATCACACTCGACCGCTGTTACCCTACTCTACTTATTATAATTTTCTCGTTTACGTCCTTATTTACAATGAGGCAATTTTATAATGTCAGTCCCACGATCTAGACCCAGGCATTTGACCCTAGATATCTCAAACGACCCGTTTCGTGCTTATCTTAGAGAAAGGCGTCTCTATTTTAGCGACAAAATAATTGTGTTAGATCATATTACGATAATTTCTTTGGTCATGAACATAATATATTTAGAAGACCGCTAAACCAAGGTTGAATAAGATAACAACGATTATGTGGACCACTGGCCACATATACCAGAACGTTCAAATTTATAAAAGAATGACTGCGATTGGCTTTTGATTTCTATTACAAGTATAGCGCCTAGCACGGTAAGCTAGAAGACGTCGGTCGAATCCGGCCCGATCGAACGAATTTTCTCCGAGTGTTCGATTTTTGTATTAACAGTTATTATCATAATTCAACCTTTTTTTAACACATATCAGAAACCCTCTATGATGTGTTCAAAAACCGCAAATTACGACCAGCATAAACTGTTTCGTTAGAACAAATTTCTTATCTGTGAAACTGTTATTATTGCTTAGTAATAACATCAAATTCGATTTTATTATTACATACAAATTTCGAACATCTCTGAAAAACAAAGCAATTTGATTCGACCTCATATCAGTCGAGATGAAGTTTTATTCAAAATGAAATGTAATACCAAACAATTTTGACAAATTTCACACGTTACTTGATGTCGAACGATATGATAGTTGGGGCCGACTCTAGTTTGTCTATGAATTAAATAAAAACTACGGTTGTGTGACATGCGTGAGAAAAGTTTTTATTTGCCGCCATTTCGCCAGTCGTAACATGCGGTTCCTGAACACATAATGGAGAGCTTATAATAAGTGTATAGATAAAGCAGTGTATGTAATGAACATAATTAGGCACTAACATTTATTAAAAATTTTGTAACAGTCATATAAATACTATTTTGAGCAAAGATATTATTTAAATAGGTCCTATATGTATGTATTGTTATCGAATCACCAGGCCCTCTGAAGACTTGTTTGTCACCAATTACCTGGTCTCTGAGGAATTCCCTGTACTATGAACGAGTAACGGAATTCACTCTGGTGGACTTCCCAGAACACTCAGACCAGAACCAATTCAGAAAAGTACATTTCCAGAATTGGTCTTACCAGGAATCGAACCCGGGACCTCCTCGTTCAGTGCCCACAGTGCAAACCGTTACACCAATGTGCGAAATAAGCAATGACACTCACCTGTCCGAAGCGATACTAGCAATAGCAACTGCCCAATCGGAGCCGCACCAACCCTGGTCTACAATGGGGGATATAAAGTCAGGCCACCGTTGTCTCGCGTCGAATTCATCAGGGTATGCGATGTTCTTATGATATTGCACTGGATTCATTCTTTGTGTCATTTTGTCCAATGGAAGCGTACCTGAAACAAGATAAACCAAAAAATTGTCAGCGGTTCTTATCAGACGACGTCGTCGTCCGGTCCGCGCTTAAAAGTGTCCGATCTAAAAGGGTACTAAATCGCAAAAACATCAAAAGCATCAATCGCGCGTCGCGTCAGTCGTCGATTGGTCGACCAACAGCGCGCTAGTCAATCATGCTACGGTATAATAAAAACTTGTAAAAAAATAAAATGAAAACGAAGGATGGTGTATCGATCATATTTTCATTACGTAGTACATATATTGTGTAATCATAGTTATGTCACGAGTGTTATTTTGCACAATAGTGCTGTACAGCATTTTATTCATATTTACATTAATCATAAATAGAAATTACAGAAGTAATCAAATAGTAGCAAAACTGTCCTTTTCCTACACATTGCATGCACAAAAGGCAGAAACAGCTACGGGTCTCTTACGTGATTTTTTATATGTCATCAAGTACATAACCAGAAATAGAGGCGAAATGAGTACCATCCGTCACTGGCAACTGATCAGGTAAATGGGCCTTATATCACTTTTAAATATCAACTCTCGTTTGCTTTGAAATCACAAATTACAAAACTCAAATAGCACACCGCCAACAACTGACCTGTGTGTACGTCTCCGTATATTCCAAAAATATTCAGTATTTATTATAATAAAGATAATTTTTTTTTTCTGCGGGTAGGTGTAAGAAAGTAAACATCATCTGAATCACCTAAAGTTTTAATAAATTATTATAAATATTTATACTGTATTTTCATACAAAGTTCTTATGGAATATTAAACATTAACATTCAATACCTGCCGGTGTGTGTTATCCTGAAGATATCTCAACTACTACATTATTAAATCACCATTGTTACTTCAAGTCACTACACTCTCACTAAAGATGGACGCCATGCAGGAATCTATAGCCAAACTCCAGCAATTGTTTACCGAGAAGATGGATGCATATCAAGGTGAACTTCAGGCAGTATCCCCATCAGCCAATATTAACACTCTGAAGTCTGATTTCGCAGCATTTCGGTCATTCATTTTGACTGCGCTTCAAACTTTGCAACAGCAGGTTGCTTTACTTAATCGTCAAGTTGATAATATGGAGATGCGCAGTCGAAGAAAAATGTTACTGTGTCATGGCTTGCCAGAGTTGAGGGACGAGGACACTGCAGCTGTTGTAGCAAGTACCATCATTAGTCAGTTGAAGATTACAGATTTCTCTGTCAAGTGTATCAGCAGATGTAACCGTATGGGGCGTGCGTCTAATGATAACAAGCCGAGGCCAGTGCTATTAAAACTGCGTGACATCGAGATGCGAGACAAGATATGGTTTGCCAAGACCGCACTCAAGGGATCAAAGATTACTCTTTCAGAGTTCTTAACGAAGCCGAGGCATGATGTTTTTATGGCGGCCCGTGACACATTTGGTGTGAACAAATGTTTTACACAACAAGGTGTTGTTATCGTGATCGGTGCCGACGGGAAGCGCGTGCGCATCACTTCCATGGATGACTTGAGGAGCATCCCTGCGTCTGCGAGGTTGAAACCCGTGACCGCCAAGGTACCTATTGTCACGGATTCTTCCAAGCCTGTGGTAACGACAAAGGGAAGACGTGCTTGTGCCACTAGTAAAAAGTGACGTTACTGTCGTACTTTTCTTTGTCTCATTTTCATATATCTTTTACGCGTCTAATCTTGTGGAATCTGTTCGGGTAGGACTGGATAATATATTATGTTCACCCTCACAAAATATTTTCTTTGATTTTTGTTTATTGTGACTGTCAGTTTTCTTTTTTTGTTTTGTTGTATAGTATGTAAAATTTATAATGGCTATGGCATAAAGTCACGATTGACTTTGACAGGTCCACTTTAATAAATTAATTGCGTTCCGCTTCACGCACTAATTTAACTGTTGGTTGTTTTTACAATTATTATTATTAATTTTTTTTTTTTTTTGGGGCCTGTCATTTCAGTAATATTTAGTTAGATAAGATTAGTATGTACAGTTCCGTGCCCTTGCAGATCCACCTCTATAAATGTAATGTTGTTATATTAATGTTCTTTCCCAGAACACTACAACCGGCGGGTGGAGATAGTATCTGTTACAGTTACCAGTCGATCTATTTGTGTTGTTTAGGTTTGTATATATACATATATTATATTAGTACATAGTTTTTATATTATAATTATATATATTTTTATATTTATTTAGATATGTCAGATGGAATTGATAGTGATAATGAACTTTACTTTTCTCTGTCATCTCTTAGTAGCAACAGCAGCAATAACAGTTTTGATAGTCTTCCTTCTCTTTCAGACACACTTGAGTCTTTGTTTTCTGACGTTCCCAAAAATTTTAACGTTATTCATATTAATGCCCAAAGTATTCCGGCTCATTATCCTGATATACTGGCGTCGTTTGATCTTAACAATATACATGCGGTACTGATTTCCGAGTCTTGGTTGAAACCATGTTTGCCTTCTTCCTCTTATGCTTTACCTGGATTCCGTCTTATACGAAATGATCGTGTTGGCTCCGTTGGTGGTGGGGTAGCTATTTACTTAAAAGCTCACATTCCTTTCGCCATTATTAGCACCTCATCACAACCACCGTCACCCAATGCAGGCGAGCATCTGTTGGTTGAGGTCACTCTCGTTCACACCAAAATCCTTCTTGGAGTTTATTATAGCCCATCATTGCGTGTTGACTACTTTACCTCACTAGAAAAACTGTTAAGTGACTTTGTTCCCTCTTATAGACACTCCATTATTTTGGGAGACTTTAATACTTGTCTCATTAAAAATGATCACCGTACGTCCTCACTTAAATCAGTTATTAATTCAAGCAACATGCACATCCTTTCACTTGGTGCTACTCATCATTTTCCCAATTGTACTCCTTCTCTTTTAGATTTATTAATAGTATCTTCACCGCAGCATGTTGCAAAACACGGCCAATGTTCGGCTGATGCATTTTCTTATCACGACCTCATTTATTTGTCTTATAAAATTCGTCCTCCTAAAGCTAAACCCAAAGTCATACTCCAGCGCAATTTTAGTGGTATGGATCGTGAGATTTTTCTTAAAGATGCACGTGCTATTGATTGGTCTCCAGTGATTGATGCGCAGACTGTGGATGAGCAGGTTGAAATTTTTAACACATGCATTAACCAATTGTATGACAAGCATGCGCCTTTTCGATCCATAAAATTAAAACACCTTCCGGCAGCATGGCTTACCGACGACATAAAATTGGTAATTAACAAAAAGGTAGCTGCTAAAACTAAATATAAATGTCGCCCAAGTAACTATAATAAAGAAACCTATACCAAAATCCGTAATCGCTGCAATATGATGTGTAGAGATGCTTTACGTCGCCATATCTACAAATCCGTAGAGAACGAGGATCCAACGAAGGTTTGGAAATTTCTCAAGACTCTTGGGATTGGTAAATCCAAAGACAGTGCCATTCCTAACAGTGTTAATATCGATTCTCTCAATGTACATTTCTCCTCTTCTCCTAGTATTAATAACATTAATAAAATTAAAACTTTAAAACAACTCTCGGCCTTACCAATCCCTGACCACTCTCCATTCATTCTTGATAAATTTTCGGAATGTGACGTAAACAAGTGTATTTTGTCAATCACCTCGAATGCTGTTGGTTGTGACAGTATAAGTCGCAATATGCTAGTGCCGATCCTTGATATCATTCTTCCAGTTTTAACTTTCCTCTTCAATAGCTCTATTTACAATGCCGCATTTCCTTCAATCTGGAAGGATGCTCAAATAATACCTTTGCCTAAAGTAAGTAATCCCAAAACATGTAACGAATATCGTCCTATATCCATCCTTCCTTTCCTTTCAAAGGTTTTGGAGCGTCTCATCCATAACCAACTAAGCAAGTTCCTTTCCCGTCACAATCTGTTTAATCCTCTCCAATCTGGTTTCCGTCCCGGCCATAGCACAGTCACGACTTTGGTGAAAGTCACCGATGATATTCGTTTTGGAATGGAGAATGGTCAATTAACTGTGCTAACACTATTGGACTTTAGCAACGCATTTAACACAGTTGATTTCGATGTACTTCTCGCCCTGTTGCACTCAATGAACATATCTCCAACTATGATTGACTGGTTTCGCAGTTATTTGTACGATCGCAGGCAACGAGTTCGATATGACGAGAAATTCTCCTCATGGTGTAACACGACAGCTGGCGTTCCTCAAGGCGGCATTTTATCTCCTCTTCTGTTTGCCATATTTATAAACACCATTTCTCATAGCCTATCTTGTTTCTACCACCTATATGCCGACGATCTGCAAATATACTGTCAGGAACCGCCATCGAGGTTAACTGAAGCTATAACGACCACAAACCAAAACTTGTTCCGTATTAAGGAGTGGAGTGAGGCATTTGGACTTTCAGTTAATCCTGTCAAAACTCAGGTGATGATAGTAGGAAGCTCCAGATTACTGTCTAAAGTTGACTTGAGCGCACTTCCTAAAGTAAATTTTGATGGTTTTGACATTCCTTTTAGTTTTACGGTAAAAAATTTGGGAATACTCATGGACAGTTCTCTGCTTTGGGGTCCACAGCTACAAGCCGTTAGTCGTAAATTGTATGCGTCAGCTGCATCGTTAAGGCGGCTACGCAACTTCTTACCCACTGCTACTAAAATTGCGCTAGCACAATCTTTGTTGCTTCCTGTCCTCGATTATGCCGACGCCAGTTACCTTGATCTCTCGGAAGACCAGCTAGATAAACTTGAGCGTCTTCAAAATTTTTGTATTCGATTCATTTATGGTTTGCGTAAACATGATCACGTTTCTCATTATCGTTCTAAGCTCAAGTGGCTTCCTATTCGCCTGCGCCGGAATACTCATATACTATCCCTTCTTTACAACATTTTGTTCAACCCCACATTCCCACACTACCTTAAGGATAGATTTAGTTTCCGACACTGCTCGAATAGTCACTCATTACGGTCTTCAGAAAATC